TCCCTCACGCTCGGACGATCTTTACGAACGACATCAAAGAGCTCCGTCCATCGAACCTGATTCTCCTATTCTATATCTCTCGCCCTTCAGATATGCTTGTTTATTGACATAGAAATCCATTATGATTGCATGTGTTCCTTCAGGTAAAAATGGTATTATTGTTGAGATACCACCACATGGTGTGATTAATATAGTTGTTTTGTATAATTCATGCATTTGTTGAGTGAATGCATATTGAGACCAGTCAATTACATCAAACTTTATTTTTGGATATGTCGAATATATAAAGTGTTTAACTTCGACAAGATTTTTAATGCTACGTAAGCTACGACGAAATGCCCGAGTTTTGTTAACAAGTACAATACGATGACGTGATGGCAAATGAGATACATTGACACCATGATATTGTAGGATAGCAGTACGATAGTCATAGAGAAGTCTTTCTTTTCCGTGTGTATATGGTTCATTGCCAATAGAAAACATTGAATGAGCACCACCAGCTACAATAGTTCGAAAACATACAAGAGGCGAAGGAAAACTATTCGTATAATCATCAAGACCATCGACATCTGCAGCAACAGCAGGAACTAAGTTTTCATACATTCGATAAAATTGACTTCCTTCTTTTGGAAAATTTCGATATTCAATAAGAACAGCATCTCTATCATATTCATTTAGCCTAACCATTGAAAAGTAAGTAGATGCTATGTCTTCCCAAATGACATGACCAGGATTGAAGGATACGTGCCAATGCATAAATAAAACATGAACATTATCTAAATAAGGTACTTTATCAACGGGTGGTAACCATTCTTCAACAATTGTTGGTCCCCATGATTCACGATGAGTGGCACGCGCAACAAGACTAACAAAGCCATGATTATTTATATTAAAATCATATATACGACCAAGTTTAAGGTCAAATAAAACTGGCGTTTTAATGCTGCCTGGCTTACGATAAAACTGAAATACTTTTCTCTCTTTATTGTAACAGATATTTTTGAATGCACAAGTTCTTCGACGCCAATCAGATTCATAATTCATATTACCGGTACAAGTCCAAGTTGACTGAAAATTCGAACCTTTGAACAAAGTCGCTCCACTTATTTTCTCTTTACTTTGACTTACTAAAACTTCATTTGTAGATGTCGTATTATGAGGGCTATGAAGACGGTAAACCATCAATAAAAAGTACAAAGAATAAGTCGCAAGTATCATAAGAAAACCATATAGAAACCAAAGCAAAATTTTTCTTTGTAGAAATTTAAACTGTGCCATTTCGTATTAGCTCTTTTGTTTTTCTACGCATGTCTAAAACAAATGATTGAAAAGTTACTTTTCGTAGTGTTTTCATTGAGCTTTTGTCTACTGTAGTACAACACAGATCTAGAATATTACCGTCTGAGAAACGACACAGAACTGCAGCTCTAAGCTCAGGACCACATAGGGTTAAATGAAAAGAAAAAACAGTTTTATCGTGGTTCAAAATGTTTAGTGTCGTTGGACATGAGCATGAGTATAAATGTTGGTGAGAGTATGAGTGTAGGCTTAACTGCAATTTTCGGTGTGAGTGCATACGAGTGTGGGTCTTTGGTCGTTTCTCTCTCTCATACCTTGATTCACTGCAGCATTGACAAGCACAATAATATTCTCATTAACATTCAGAGTCCACACGCTCAGCTATTAGATGTCTAAGAAGGCTCATGAGATTTTTTCACATCTTGATGTCCTTCCATGAGAGCCACATGATGAATAGCATAGCACAGAAAAGATGATTCGGTTATAGCACTCAATGGTGTGCGTGTATGCAAGTATGGGAGTGCCTCCAAGCACGAGAGTATATCCACACTCACACTCGTTGAAAACTAATGCTGTTGCTATGGCTGTGACTGAGGCCACGCCCAGAATTGATACAGATTCCCAGGTCAAAAAATCTGATGGGACGACATCTTATTAAATTTTGTGACAAAATTTAAGAGACCTAACATGATCAGTCAGACTTAAATCAACGTTCTGTAATTGTGCTCTTTCCTATTTTCTATCATTTGTTTATCTGTTATAAATCATTAAATTTGTGCCGTCAGTAATAAAAAACTACCGTCTACTCTTATTATGTCTTTCCTAAAAATCAAACACGAAATAAATCCAAATATCGTTATCAAAACTCAGTGCACAGATATTAGCACTCATGTCATCAAAATCGTGCAAAAACAATTGCTATTTGATCGTGATTAATCGTCTAAACTAATGACTTTTCTGATTGTCACTACGGCTCGACATGCATACTACCGCCTCTTCCAAAGTACTCTCTAAAAATACTCGTTTCTGTAAAAATTTAAGAGCATTTTGGAACAATTTTCTTTTACTATTAGAAATCCAATAGTATTTTCAGAAACCGTGACAGTATTATAGGAAACTAATATTGCCAGAAAAACTGAGTTAACATCTGAAAGAGTACGCGAAAATGCATTTTCAATTTTCGAACTTCCTGAATCTGAGGATGGAATTGGGGACCGAAATCAGTTTTCAAATTTACGTTCGACATCCTGAAAGATTTTTCGAAGTTATTAAAATCTTCAGGATGTTTTATAAAACGGTCATGATTAAAATACTAAAAGTTCTCAGAAAAACATTTTTGTTGTTCGAATATTCTTTTCTGATCCTCGTTCGTCTTCAAGTTAAGAAGTTTTCAATCAGTTGAAAACTGCTCATATATTTAGTATAATGTATTTAATTATAGATCATTCTTTGTTTGCATCATTATTTTTTTTAAGTCTGAAACCATTTCATACTTTCGAAATAATTTAGTGATATCTTTAGATTCTTAAATTAGTGTCAATTTTGAATATTTGAGAAAAATTATGATGTTAACAGTTTGCAAACAAGTAAATAATAATATGAACGTAAAACCTATATATTTTTTTCTTATTTTGTTTCATTAAATTTACATGAAATAACGATTAAATATAGCCATTATAGTTTTTAACAGCCGCAAAGAGTGATAAAGCCAGAAACTTATGACTTGAGGTTTTAATTATAACTAATTTATTTCTAAAAGTCTCAGAATTGAATGTTTTCAAATTAAATGGAAAGGAAAATGTTATGCTTATACCAGAAACGGAACTCGATTGGAAACTAGTAGGTATTCTTAGACCAGGATCAATAAAGGATTAATCAAATCCGTGTTGTTGGTAAAACACGGAACTGTTGTACAAAATGGTTATCTTTACTCACACTGGAGGTCCATTTGAGCTTTGGTTCTATCATAATCTTAATATTCATCGACAAACTAGTGCTGGTGAAACGGTGATATTTGTGTATGATGTGTAATTGTCAGAGAAAAAAAACCAATGAAGTCGTAATAGTGTGCGTCTTTTTTAATCGTTAGATTAATTGCACATCAACGTTGATGCATCCTACCGAGTAACATAAGAAAGAAAAAGTAAAACGATGACTTTTTTCTTTTACCAAACAAAAGACGTATCTTATATATGCGATACTCATCTTATTGATATCAACGGATGAATGCGCAAAATGCAATATGCATGGCCATGTATACATTGAAGTAGTGTGCTTCATTTTTACTCATATAAAAGTGTCGCTACCTTGCCGTATTCATCTAGTATCGAACCAATAAGATATTGCACAGATATAACCAGTCCTAGTATGTTTTCTGCAAGTGAAGTTACTTCACAAGGCTTTTGTAGTAGTGAGTTTCTAGCGGTCTTTTTATTCCTACCATAGAAGCACTAAAACTTTTTTATGAAGTAGTTCAAACTAGATCTCAATTAAAAGGATGAATACCAAAAACTGATATTTGTTCTTTTAAAAAATTATGAATATAATGAATAATCGATATGACAACCATCAGTGATTTTACAGCACGAGTATGAGACTGATATCAACATAATATAATTTTAAGGCATGGATTTAAGTGATCAGTAAAATAGATGATATGATCAGTAGGAAAAAATATTATAAAATCAGTTGATTGAATGAATGATCAGTTATATATTGAAGTACCAGTAAACTATATATATGATCAGTTGTTAAATGAAAAGGTGACGTAATAAAATTTGAATATCAGTAAATAAAATAATATAGCAGTCAATTAAATCAAAGAATCAGTAGAGAAGTAAAAAGTAGGACAAGATGAATCGCTTTGTGCTTTGTTGTCTTTCTTTCTTTTTCTTCATTGACCTATATCTACTAGGGAACTGCAAAATGGTCCAGGTCCCGGTCCCGGTCAGTTTTTATGCAATATATTTTCACGTTTATTATTTTGACATGATTTAAGATCTGTAAATCAAATATTTTTATTTTCTATTTCTATAAAAGTCTTTACTGATTACGAGTCTGTATGCAAGAATCTGAGTTTTCCAATTGCACAGGTTTTTGAATACATATAAAACAACCAACACAACACTATATACGTAAGTTTAATTTGTTCATTCTTCGATGATTTCTTTATTGAAGTCTTATCAGATAATAGTAAATAGATATGTATCGCCGTTTATTTTTTTTTTAGACAATCGTAATGGCTACTCAGTATAAATAATCAATTCGATAATAGATCCGTTAGGTAGAGCAGTAGATATAGAAGAAGAGAGAAATAAGTAAATGACTGCTACGAAGTATATGAGAATTTTTAACAAAATTCAATGGTTATTTTTATTTATTCGAGCTTTCAGTGAAATTCTTTCACTTTAACACTGGATATAAAAGAATTTTCGTACTGTTAACGAATCAAAATTATTCATGTCAATTTTATGTATTCATAAAAGTACACAGTTCGTAAAAAAAAGTTGCTCGATTTTAGAAATGAAACCATTGTCAAAGACCCGGACCGGGACCGGGACTGAAAAAAAATTTGACCGGGACCGGGGCCGGGACTAAAAAAAGTGATTTTGCAGTTCCCTAATATCTACACAATGTAACATATATATGCTTTTCTTTTTCTTGTTCCTTCACGTTTATCATATTGTTAACACGTAAAAAATATGGAAGGAATCCAGGTTGCTCAATATGTAAGTGATTTATCAGATGAAGAAGTTTATAAAGAAAGTAATGAAAAACCTCAAAAGAAGAAAAAAAGAACAAAATATTGGGTCAAAGAAGCTGTGTTTGATAATGCTGGTGAAGCCGAAGCATCACTTGGTAACGCATGGTCGAGTGTGGGTGTGAGTATCATAATGTTTAAATATCCACACCCACAACTTCCTCATTCTATATTACACATTGCCAATAATTTTCATCTTTTTTACTGGTAAAATCTGTCTTATTTACTTATCAAATTTCTTTTTTTTACTGGTACAATTGATATTTTTTTACTGCTATTCTGTATAATAAACTGATCATTTTCATATTATTTACTGGTAATCTAAGTATTGATCATTCAATATCTTAACTGATCATTCAACCTTTAAACTGATCATTTATATACTTTTTTACTGGTACTTTCATCCATTTTACAGATCAAATAATTTGTTGCCAATTTTAAATGGGTGAATGTTTGCTTGTATGTTGTCAAGAATATCAAAATGTGATTTTTTTAGATACTTACCTATCAAAATAATCGTGCTTCGTCTCGAATAGCCATTTTCTTCAGCTTCATACTTGATTATTGTTCCCATATTTCCAGACCACGTATCTAATATCCTGTGATATTCATCATTTTTTATGAGATCTAATTAGAACTACGTCATGAAAGAAATTTGTCTTTGCTGATAGAGCGTAAAATTTTATGCATTTTCTACATTCGGCATTGAAAAGTTGCCATAAACCTCACTATTTAGTGTTGGATAATGCCATTTTCAATGCGCATTAATTTGGTATAAAACTTATTGTTGATGCTTTCTGAAATCACAGCGTTACCTGTGTGGAAAAACATTTTTACGCAGTCTGCTTTATTTTGTTACTCGAAAGTACTTAGTATCTCTGATAGATAAGTGTCAGGTGATGAGGAAAACAAGTGCTTCAGAAAAATGTTCGTGGAAGCGGTTCTCTTTAAGTTAGTATTTGGTCAAGGATGTACTTAAGGTAATGCCTTCAGAGCGAATACTTTTAATAGCGTAATATCTAGTTTTCTTAATGTACTATTCTTATTGTTATGTGTATAATATCATTAATTATTCATTAAAAAAGTTTTTTTTAAAGTTTTTCAAACATTTTCATTAACATGTTCACTAATTATAATATCTTAAAAAATACAGCTAATCGAATTTTTGATCATATTCAAGAGTCATATTGACAAATATTACTGGGATACCTATATTTATATATGTCAAGATGTTTCAAAAGACGAACGCAGTCGCTTGATCATTTAAGAGAGAGTCCACGAGATCACCACTTGAGGAAGTTTCCAAAAACTTTTACTTTTTGAAATGAGTTTGCTAGTTTGAAAGAGCATAAAAAGTTACTCAGAAATCCAAATTTTTGACAGCTTTTAGACCACGTCTTCTAATAATTCAGCCATCTAATAATTTTCACCAAAAATATCTGTTTGTCAAATCCTATAGTTTTTCCATCATTTTGGTGTATGAATCAGTTTCTCTCAATAATTTGACCAAATCCATTATCAACCTATACCAGCTCATAGAGCGGATGCTGCTTTACAAAACTCTATGCTTTATATATTCCATTACATACTTTGTAAACCAGAAAAACTCATCGTAATAGGTGAACCGACCATTTTTTAATTTACTTTCTATGCTTTGTTTTATCATTTTTGCTTCTATTCCGGAGTTAATTTTCGAGAGCTTAACGCAAACTTTATTTAGTTTTGTAGAGTATCAAAAGACGCATTTTTTAGTAAAAAAATATTAGTGATAAAGTGCTAGCAACTTTCCGAAAAGTGTGTAGGTGGATGCGGATGTGGACGTAGATATAAATACCAGCTATGGCCCATCCACATCCGCACCCTCCAGTTATATTAATAGATTACGATTTTCTACTACAGATATTTTCTTCATGAAGCAATGAAACTTTTTATTAAACAATATCATACAAAAATAAATACAATAAATAATATAATTATTTCCATTCTAAATAGATATCATTCATTACACGTTTGACCATAAAATCAAAAAGCAGATTCTCGATATTGATTATTTTTTTTCTAATTTTTGAACCATTGTATCATCTGCTGCTACTACACAAAAACACAATAATCGAAGTGAATGATTAAATTTGGTCATAATATGCATTAAAATAAGTCGCATAAATAATTTAATATCCGTAGAATGAATCAAATTGACTTGAAGATGACTGATATGAGGGGAAATATCAATGAGAAGATAATCTTCTTCTATCAGAGTTATCCTGTTGAGAAAAAATCTTGTAATTCGATTTTTAGTTGATAAATTCAAAAGATCTTCAATTTCTTCCTTTGACAAACATGTTGATTGTGAAAATGACAAAGAAAAAAAGTGTAATGAATCAAGTTCAGGTAATAAATAGAAAATTTCGCTTAATTTACCAATAAAAATTTGTTCCTGAATTTCCATATGAAAAATTTGTGTTACAGTTAAAACATGACGAATATATTTATGTATAATTAATGATTTTCATCATCCTTCCGGAGATGTATCGACTAAAATATGCCCTATGGATTTCGTTCATTAATCGGAAGAATTAATCATCTTATGTTATGTATTATATTCATACCAACTTTTTCTAAAAGAAAAAAATAAAATATTTAATACAAAGACGCTTTTTTGATATACTTATATGGACGGATTGATATATCAAATCACAAATTCAATTTCAGCTTGTAGTATTTCATCGCCGTTCAATCCAAAATGAAGAAATAAATTGATTCTGATTCCCGAAGTACATTGGAGTTTCATAATTATCTTGAAAATGTGCATTATATTCATGATAAAGTTCTTCTGATTGTGACACATTTTGTAAAATGAATTCTTCTCATCGATTAATATCAAGATAAGCAATATCTTCAACTACAGTAGTGAATGATAAAACCTTTAATTGTGAAAAATAGAATTTTTTAATAAATATTTCAATTTCATCAAACGTCATTCGATAGTCATGTATAGAAAGATGTGTCAAATTTGATAATGTCATTGGCTTAATAACTTTAATACTTTCATTACTTTCACTTAAATTCAAAAATTTGAGACGACGAAGTTGTGATGTTTAAGATATTATAGTAGAAAGTTCGTCGTAAGTATATGGATGATCAATAATAAGATATTCAATAGCACTGACTTGTCCATTGGTAGTAATTGGCAGTGAGACATTTATGTCGAAATCATCGGATTCCGTTGATATATATTTGATTTATCTCAATTTCGAAAAATTGAAAATTCATTGATAAATATTATCGAAATCTTTTACAGCAGACTGCATATCGATTATTAATGAGAAAAGACGAGATAGATGAGTTAATTTCGGAAGAAGTATAACAAGGACTAAAAACAAAAGACTCGAGACGAATAAATGATAAATTGACAGTAAACAACGAGATAATTTCATTATTATCTGCTGATAACCATAGGTGAACTGATAATATTTGATCTTTATTGTAAAGAAAAACTTTTTTTGTGGTTGTTCATCATTATTTATTTCGATTTGGAATAATAAAGTTTTATTTTTAATAGAAGAGATGAAGAACCAAGAATTTGTTGGAAGGGTGTGGGGGGGGGGGGGGGGGGGGGGGGGGGGGGTTGTAACGGCACTAGCCGTCACCTATGTTCTCTCTCTCTCTTCCTTCTATTGTCTTTCATTGATGATTCTCTTTTCTTTATTTTGTCTCCTTTGTCGCGCCTTTTTCTCTCTCTTCTGATATAGTATTATTCATTATTCGTTTTCTTAGCTAGTAGCTTCACTACTACTCATCTTCTCATCTTTCAACACATAGCTTCTTCATTGATCTTTATCTCATTGACTCATTTTCTATCATATACATCTTCTCTTCAACATTCAGTTTCGTCTTGACTGCTACCTTTCAGTCAACCGTTTATTGATCTATCTACATTGTTCTTTGTTTTCTGCTTTTCTTCTCTCGTCAATTATCATCTTTCTTCTCGTCCATCATTTAATAAAATATATTTGGTGAAGCTTCATCAAGTGCCAAACCTACTGTGGCACCTGGGATTGCAGCTTGTTGTTGCTTCATAGGTGAGTGTGGGTGTGGATGTAGAATATTAGCGCAACCACACCCACACCCCCACACCTAGACATGTTAGCCGCCGACTTTTCGCCGCCGACGCCAATCAAGTTTGGAGTTAGAACAATATGGTCAAAAGCGTATAAATAGACGCTTCGCATTACACTTCCATTCACATGAATAACATTATTGCTATCATTGTATTGTATCTGATAAGCGAAGAAATACATACCTATCCACTGGGATGACGCATTATGTTCGAGATGTTCACGTCAAACTTCGTCCTTTCAAGGCCAATCAATCTCTTGCGTGGTCACATTTCGGTCATCTTACATTATCAGTTACGAAAGAAGTGATTGATAACAAGAATATTTATTGCAAGGTTTGCTATGACAAACAACTCGTCAAGCATCCTGATGTCCTCTTGTCATCATCATTAATACAGAAACAACTTATTCGTTACACCGAAAACATGAGGACTGGAAACATGCTTTTACATCTTTCTATGAAACCCATGTGCGAAAAGGGAGATAACGATATGTTTCTATGAAAACAGAAAGTGTAATGTTTGTAACAAAGGTTGGAATCAACAAAAGACTTGGTAAAATGACTTTCGAAAAATTTCACCGCCGCCGCCGAAGATGCCTTCGTCGGCGTGATTTGTCCGCCGCCGCTGCCGATACGTTGAAAGTTGTTTGCCACCGCCGATTAAAAGATCGGCTAATATGTCTACCCACACCCCACACCCACACACTCACATCCACACCCATCCACCCACACTCCACCCTACCCACCCACACACACCCACACCCTAATAGTGGAACGGACGATGAAGAAGAAAATGGGTGATTTTCTTTCCGGTCCAGTGTTATCGTCTTGTTGTCGTCCGTTCCACTATTGAAAATTAAAAAAGGACAAATTAAAAAAAGAAAGTTCAATTTCTTGTATTCATATGTATACGTGTGTTCTTATTTTGTAAATTTAATTCATTTTATAGCACCTGACGAAGAAGGAAGTACACTTCGAAACGTCGTAATAAAATAAAATAAATAAGGAAGAGTAAAATCAATAAAACATTTTATAAAATATTATGCCCTTCCTAACAATCACTGAATTTTATGGACTATCTCTAATGTGTAATGATAAAAATTTTTTTAAGTAAAATTTCTTTATTTACTTTTCAAATTTCAAACAAATTTATTTCGTATATGTGTTACAGTTAACAAAAAAAAAATCAATGATCATAGAGTAAATAGAATTCTCTTTTTTATAAATGAATATTTTACAATATTTTAACACATTCTATCTTCTTCTTTTTTTTTCAGCTGAAGATTTTGTTGTTTTTTTATCTAAGTTACACAAGAGATAAACTGTCAGCAAAAAAATATCAGTTGAAGATTTGCATCATAGCGGAAAATCTGTTGTGACGTTGCTGGGATAGTATTCAAAAAAGAATGTTTCAAGTTTCAATGTTTTTAGGACATTAAATTGCAATTGGATATGGGTGTGGACTGTGGGTGTCGGTGTGACTACTTTCAACCAACACTCACATCTACACCTTATCCACATCTTCATCCATCCTGATGTTTAAATAGATTGAAAATTAAATAAGAAAATTAATTTTTTTTCCTATAGTTCCTTCTTAATATCTCATCATGTAATAATGCACCTTCTCATGTTTGAGTTTGAATAGCTGGATAACACAATGAAGACAAGGTTTCATCACATAAACTTTTAACATTGACTACATTTGTTAGAATACTCTCATTCAAAGGTTTTTATTTATGTTTCCTTTCTTTACATCAATACGTTTAGTTTTTTCGTTAGAGTTGCTTACAGGAGATGTAGACAACGAGTAAACACAGTTTTGTCTTTTATGTTGTGTTTGTCGCCAAATATTATCGCCCAGAAGAAAAATACATATATCTTCAATTTCATCATTATTTTAAATGTTTAAGTAATTTGCTTGTTAAATTCTAAAGTGTTTTATCATACATTCTAACATAAAACAATCGTACTTGAAGAACTTGTAGGAAAGTTTTTCAAAAAACAATGATTTACTCTGAAACGTTACTA